AGAGCCATCTGCCATGGTGTGGGGTGAGCCTGGAGTCTGGGGTCAGGCTGGGGCACCAGGAAATGGTATCCAGAGAGGCCAGGGAGGGGAGGGCCTCAGCAGATGTGTCATATGCTGCTCTTCCCTACCTGCGGCTGCAAAGCATGGGGAGCCAGGGAAGGAAAGGGGGAAGGAGAAAAGGCGATGTGGGGTGGCCTCCACGGCGCCCGATGGCTGGCAGCTGGCTCTTTCCCTGCTGCATCAAGACCCAGTGAGGAGGGGTGTGTAGGGAAGGGTTTTAAGTACTCAGGCCCTGAGCCCACACAGCCCTGGCTATGAACCCCAGCTCTGCTGTCTGTGAGCTGTGTGAGCCCAGGCAGGCAACTTACCTCTCTGAGCCTGTTTCTTCATCTGGAGAATGGAGCTGATGCAAGGGTCTACCCCCATGAGGATACAGAGATGGTCTCTGTAAGGTGCCTAGCACATAGCAAATGCTCACTTAATGCAAGCTGCACGCATTACTCCGAAGCACCACGTTAGCGCACCAACTCCAATCCTTGTAGTGAAGTGATTTATTTAGTCTCTGGTCTGCATCCCTCAGTTGTTCAGAGGACCCTGGTCCTGCTCCCTTCCTCTGAGCTTGGAACAGGCTACTGCAGAGGAGGACCGTGGGACGGTCTGAGTGCTGGGCCGGGCAGACATCTCCTTGGTGGAGTGCCTTTGGGGGCTGCTGCTGTCCCCTTGGCCTCGGGCAGTTTTTCCAGCTAGGAGGGCCGAGGGAGCACCCAGGGCTGTGGGGTCACTTCCTGAGGCTGAGGCTGTGGCTGCGGGGGGCACAGGCTGAGCATCTCAGCTCCAGTCCTCGAGGAGAAGGACTGCTCCTGCCCCAGGCCTGCTCAGTCGGACACTGGTGTGGAGGTGCACCCTGGCAGGGCACAGGATCTTCTTGTTGGCCCACCCAAATAGACTGAGAGGGGATGGACAGGCCTGCCAGCGTTTGGGCTCCTCCTGCCAGCTCCGTGGTTCCTAGGCACCCAGGCAGAGGGGGGGGGTAAGGCAGAGTTGTGGTCCCAGGCCAGTTCTGGAACCCTCACCCCCAGCCACGTTCAGCTCTTGCAGATGAGCAGGTGCTGGGGCCCAATCTTCAGCGGCTCCAGCAGCTAGTAACTCACACTCCTTCACAAAGTCGCTGCACCAGGCCTGGGCAGCATCCCTGTGGGCTCCTGGCTCCCCAGCGGAGAGACTGGAGGCCCAGGGCTGGCGTGCAGCTCCTCCTCGAGGGTTCTGTAGTAAGGCACGAATCCCGAGCCACCAAGGGCATGGTCCCTGAAGGCAGCATCACTGGAGGAAGGGGCAGTCAGGCCGCTGTCATGGAAGTGCCCCTCTGGGACCAGCAGGATGGGGCAGCAGGGTGGCGAGCGAGAGGACCCAGGGAGGTGGTCTGGGCTTGCCGAGGCAGCCTGTGTGGGAAGGAGACAAGACGGTCAGCCAGGCTCCCAAGTTTGGCTAGAAATCCAGTGCTGGCCTTGTGCCTGCAACACCCCAGCAGCGGTAGGGAAGGAGGCAGGGTGCATGACTACTCTGCAGACTGGAGAACAGTGAGCAATATCATTCAGCCCCCTGGGCCTCCCGGCCGGAAGGAGTGCATCTGGGATCACATCCACTCATCCCGCCTGCTCCGTCTCTGTGGTCACGGCACGGCCCCCAGCTCTGTGACTGGTAGTGACACGACAGGGCACCGGCTTGGGGTCGGAGCCCAGGTTTGCTCTTGCTACCAAGTCGCTTAACTGCCCTGAGACTCATTTTTCTCCCCTCTGTCATGTGGGAGCAGCAATCAGCCGTCTCTCATCGGACTATCATTAGGACAGGTGAGATGATGTACTTGGAGCATCGGCTGGGGTGCCCAGTGAGTCCTAAGGACTACACAGGTGCTTCTGTCGGGGAACACCGGCTAAGCCTGGTGTAATGACCGCGTTACTGTACGAAATTCTCACAACGGCTCCCCCAGTAGCTCCACCATTGCCTCCCTTTGTAAGGACTTTGAAGCTCAAGGGGCTTAAACACATTCCCCGGGGCCACGCCCACTCACAGAGCACGCGCAGCTGACGGTCATCCTGCAGACGCAGCCGGCCAGCCCCTCCTTCCTGGTGCATGGGTCTCGGGAGCCCCAGCATGACCTGCCAGGAAGGGCCAGCCTGGGAAAACACTCCTCCTTGGAGCGGTAGAAAGGGAAGAAGCCGCTGGACGGTTCTGAGTCCTCATGGAATGCTGGATCTCTGACAGTCTGGTCTCCTTCTTGGTCCCTGCAAGCCTCAGGCTGTGGGACCAGCTCCCCCACAGCCAGGAGAGTCCCAGAGGTGCGAAAGAAGGGCAGGTACTCTAAGGCCACCGGAGACCCATGGGAGAGGTCAAGGCTGCTGAGGGGCTCACTGCCCCTTGAACGGCTGGCCTGTGGGTGCTGGGACAGGGGCTCTGGGCCGGCCGCCTCCAGGAGGCTCTGGGAAGCCGAGACACTGGGCTCAGGCTCACAGCTCTTCTGGGATGACTGGAAAGAGAATGGTGTTCCACCTGTTACCGCAGCCCAAAGTCCCCGCCCCCTCGCCCCCTCTCCCATTCCTGCTGACACTGGAGGCCAGAGGGGTCTTTCCAAAGCATAAACCTGAGTGTGCTCCCCTCCAGGAGAACCCAGCGGCAGCTGCCAGCCACAGTCAGGTTACCCAAGAGCCCTGCATGCTTCCCCCACGCACAGCTGGTTCCACTCTGTATACACAGGCCTCCTTGCCCTTCCTTGGTCACACAAAGCTTGGCCCTGCTTTAGAACCTATGCCCAGATCTGCCCTTCCCCTCTCAGTTCAAAGGAGCTTTCCCAACCCCTGCCTCCCCCAATCCCTGCGCTGACTCCCAATCACTCCGGCCTCACGTCTCCCACGCTGGAACGTTCTTGGTCTGAGTCTGCCTATTCTGGGGTGTGGTGGTCTCGTCTCATTGTGGGCATGCAATATTGATACTTTTCCAACAAATGACGGGGCTAATTTGCTGACTCTCAGGCCATCTCATATTCCCTGCACTGTCCAGTCCATCCACACAGACCTCTCAGTCCTTCTCAACTCGCCAAGCAGCCTCCTGCCACCGGCCCTTCACTCATGCTAATGCTCCTGCCTGGAATCTCTTCCTTCTCCTTTTTCCTGGTTGACAACTTCAGCTTGTGGCTCCAGGCTCCCATCCTTCCCCGGTTTAGCTGCTTCACTCTGTTGCTGACTTCCACCACCCTGATGCCCCTCATTCGGAGCATCCACACCTCTGCTGTGAAACATTCATCTGCATGGTGACTTGATTAATATCTCTCATCTCACCAGTTATAAATTCCACTGAGGCTAGGCCCATCTGTCTTCTGTATCCTCAAGGCCTAGAACAGCCTTGGCATATGGCAGATACCAAATATTGGAATAAAGGAAAGAAAGGTGGGAGAGAAGGAGGAAGAAAGAGAATATTAAACTGGGCTTGTCCAGGAGCAAAGTCCTTGCCAGACTCCCTGTCAATAGGAAGGGGAAGGCAGGTCTTGTGGGGAGGCTGGGAAGGGGAATAAGGAATTACTTCCCAGGCCCAGAGTGGGACACAGAAGCCCAGAGCACCTGTCAGTGAAAAAACAACCCATTCTCCACCTTTGCCCATCAGGGTCAGACCCAGAGCCCACGGGTACATGTGGCGTGCAGGGGTACCCCGTGGATTCTGAGTCCCATAGGAAGGACTTATGGTCTGGCCCTGGCCTTCTTGATCCTTGCTGGGGTCTCTGGGCCTTGAGTTCCCCACCCCAGCCACATGTGTGGTCATGCCTGTCCTAACTCCTTGTGTGCAGCTTGACCACCACTGTCCCTTTTGAAAGTCCTAACCCTTGGTGACGGCCCATGGCCCCACAGACTGTGAGCTCCTGAGGAGCAGGGACCAGACCTCCTCCTCCACCCCAGACACACCACGGCCCCTCTGCAGGTAGACCACGGGAGCCCCCTCCCAACTTTGCTGGGCCTAGGGAACAAGATGGTGTGGAGGCCCTGTCAGGGTTGGAGGCCAAGCCTACCCTGTTCTGAAGCCTGTGCTCTTTTCACAATGACCTACATGGTGTTGTGGTCTCAACTGTGTCCCCCATAAGATATGCTGAGGTCCTAACTCCTGGTACCTGGGAAAGGGATCTTATTTGGAAAGAGAGTCTTTGTAGATGCAGTCAAGGTAAAATGAGGTCATACTGGATTAGGATGGCCCTATATCCAATGACTGGTGTCCTTTATGAGGGAAATTTGGACACAGACACAAGGGGAGCATCATACAACAGTGGTGGCAGAGACGGGAGGGATGCTGCCCAAGCCAAGAGATGCCACGGATCGCCAGGAGCCACCAGGAACTAGGAGAGGCAAGGAACACCTTCTCCTTGAGCCCCCAAGAAGGAGCCTGCCTTCAGAACTGTGACAGAACACACTGGTGTTGTGTTAAGCCACCCAGTTTATGGTGACTTGTTTCAGCAGCCCCAGGACACTCACACATACAGGTGGGTTGGATGGCCGATTGTGTGGGTGAAGGGAGTCGACACGAGAATGAAGGCGTGCCGAGCCTCGTGAGCAGTTTATGGGGAGAGTCTCCCTGCAGGGGCTGGGTCTCCCCAGACCTTACCCTTCCTGCCATCCAGAGGTGTTGGCCCAGAGGCTCTCCCATGTCTGAGTCTTGCCCGCCTGGGCCCTTGCTCCACTTCACCAGTGGGTTCTGGATTCAAGGAGGCCAGGTATGTCCCCACCTACTCTCCAGAGGGGCTTATGCTGTCCCTCGGCCACCGTCTCGGCATCCGTTCTGGAGTCAGTGGTAGCCCCACATTGTGCCATGATCAAGGTTAATCTCCAGACTCTGATGGAAAAGACAAAGCTGCCTTTGGCAGATCCCTTCCTCCTGGCCTGCTCTTCCCCCTGGCAAATCCCCCTCTGCCTGTCAGAGAAGGTTCCACCATGAAGTCACAAGGCCTGCTGCCAGGCAAGAAAGCCAGATGGCACCGTTACCATGGAGACCCCTGCCCAAGCACCCAACACCTGTGATCATCACCTGCCTCTTAATTCAGCTTAATCCAGATCTCCCCCCTGGGACTTGCAGGATACAAAGGGAGGGCAGGCATCTTCTGGAATCAGAACAGCTCTCCATGACAGATCCAGTGAGCTCACTCAAGGACTTGTGCCCAGAGATTCAGTGCCTCAGCGCCTCAGCAGCCTCCCCAGGAAGGTGAGGGGGCACCCCAAGGATTCCTGCTGTTGTCTCAGGCTGTCTAGACCGCTCCGTACCTGAGTGCTTCAGTCCCCTTGGGTTTCTACTCTTGCCACTTGATTTTAGCCCCCTCTCCTCTGTGGGTCTTTCCCAGTCACTTGAGAGCACAGAGTGAGACACAAAGCCTAATGCCCACTTTCCCCCACAGGGCCACCCTTCCCAGCTCTGTCCCAGGCCTGATGGTCCCGCACAGAGGGAAGAGACCAGCCTTTGTTGTCACACCTCCCAAGAATCAGCTGCTGCACTGGGCGTTTCCCCACATGCAGCCCTCTCTACAGACCTTCAAGTTGGAAATAGCACCACTGTTGTGCTGTGTTAGAGACTGGGGAGCTGAGCCTCCGCTAGGACGGCCTTCAGAGGTAGTCTTTAGCCTTAGGGCTGGAGGCTGGAGAACCCCAGCCGAGGGCCACAAGGCCCTGGTATCTCCAGGACCTCAAGCTTCTCCACTGCTGGATTCCAAGCACAGTGTGACCCAGCAGGGCTCCTCGGGGCCAGGCCCCGGACCCCCCCACCCCTACCCCAGGGCCGTTAAAGCTTGCTTTTCTTGTTTTATGGAATTAACTCTTTAATCCACGTGGAATGTATGTTTTGTAAGTGGTAACAGATAAGGCTCTAATTTTATTTTATGAGTTATATGTGTTGATTCAATACCATTGATGAATAATGGATCTCCCCACCAACCTGATTTGAAAAGCCAGAATAAACACGTTTGAAATTCATAACTATTTGAAACTCCAGTCAGTTTCTCTAATTTGTTTATTGCTCTGTCCCTCTTTGTCTCTTTTGGTACCAATTCCATACATTATACATTTATTCATTTATTTATTTATTTATGTTTGTTTGTTTGTTTGTTTGTTTGTTTGTTTGTTTTTGAGAGACAGAGAGACAGAGTGTAACCGGGGGAGGGGCAGACACAGGAGAGGGAGACACAGAATCCGAAGCAGGCTCCAGGCTCTGAGCTGTCAGCACAGAGCCCAACGCAGGGCTCAAACCCATGAACTGCAAGATCGTGACCTAAGCTGAAGTCGGATGCTGAACCGACTGAGCCACCCAGGCACCCCTATTTACTTATTTATTAATAAGTAGGCTCCAGGGTGCCTGGGTGGCTCAGTCGGTTCAGCATCCGACTTCAGCCCAGGTCACTATCTTGCAGGTTGTGAGTTCGAGCCCCACGTCAGGCTCTGTGCTTGGAGCCTGGAGCCTGCTTCTGATTCTGTGTCTCCCTGTCTCTCTGCCCCTCCCCTGTTCGCGCTCTGTCTCTGTCTCTCTGTCTCTGCCTCTCTCAAAAATAAACATTAAAAGAAAAAAAAAAAGTAGGCTCTGTGCCCGATGCGGGGCTTGAACTCATGACTCTGAGACCAAGAGTCACATGCTCTACCCACTGAGCTGCTTAGGCACCCCCCTTATACAGCCATATTTTAAAAAATCAGCTTTATTGAGGTCTAGTTTATATACATTATAAAGCATATCATTCCCAACCTAAAATCCATGTAGCAACCCCAAAATTAATATACAGAAATGCCTCTCTTCACGTAGTACCCCCTGCCCCAGCCTTCCAGCCCCAAGCAACAACTGATTTGCGTTTTGATGCCAGAGATTCATTTTGTGTGTTCTAGAATAAATGGAATCACACAGTACGTAGTTTTGTGCGCAGCTTCCTTGTTTTCAGCATTTTGTTTTTAAGATTCACCCACGTTGGCGGCATTCTGTTTGCACCTTTCTACACCACAGTGTGTTTGTCGATTCATTGGTGGGCCGTTGGGTTGTTTCCATTAGCAATTAGGCTGCTGGGCATGGTAGTGTACGAGACGGTGGGGGCAAAGTTTCCGTTTCTCTTCGGTAAGCACTCACGATGTGAATAGCTTGATCACACGGTAAGCACGTGTTTACGAAGCTGACGCACTGATTCCCAAGCCAGGTTGTGCCCTTTTACGTTCCCAGGGGCAGGGTATGAAAGATGGAGTTTCTCTCCATCACTTTAAAAGTTCTGCCATTCTGGTGGGTATGTACGAGGACAGCATTATGGTTTTAGTTTACGATAACGACTCGTGATGTTGAGCATCTTTTCATGTGCATATCGTCAATTCATATACTTTCATCTGTTAAGAGTTTGAATCTTTTGCGTATTTAACAACTTTATTGTTATAAAGTACAACAAACCGCATATATGCAAAGTATGCAATTTGCCCGTTTTTCACATTTGTCAGGCAAACGTGATAACCACTACACTACGGAAACCCGCTTCCCAGTTTTCACATTTGTATGCACCTGGGAAACCATCACCACAATCAGGATACCAAGTATTTTTATCAGTCCCCCAAATTTCCTGATGCACTTTTGTAATCTGTCCCTCCCATGTCCAGGCAACCACTTGATCTGCTCTCTGTCACTATAGATTATTCTGTATTTTCTAGAAATTTACATAAATGGAATCATACACCAGATACTTTAACTTTTTCTTAATTTGAGAGAAAGAGAGAGAGGACATGGAGGAGAGGGGGGACAGGGGAGGAGAGAGAGAATTTTAAGCAGGCTCCACACTCAGCACAGAACCTGATGTGGGGCTCGATCCCACGATCCTGGGATCATCACCTGAGCCAAAATTGAGAGCTGGACGCTCGAATGAATGAACCACCCAGATGCCCCTACTTTGACTTGTCTTACACAGCATAATATTTGCGAGATTCCTTTATGTTTTTGCATGTACCAATAGTTTGTTCCTTTTTTCTTACAGAGTGCTGTTTCATTGTATGGATGTATCACAATCCTTATTCCACAATATGTAGCATGTCATGTTTTTCCAGCTATTTTGATGGTATTTAGCTTTCATTTTCAGCCATTTATAATGTGTCTAGGCATGGTTTCCAATGACCTTATCCTTTGGGGGTTTGCAGAGCCTCCAGAATATATCAGTTTACATCTTTCACCAAATCTTGGAAGGCTTATTTCTTCCAATATTTTTTTGCAGTTGATTTTTCTTCTCCTGCTGGGACTCCAGTGACACCTCTGAGGGACCACCTAGCCCCTGTTTCTGGGCTTCCACCCTGAGGAACATGGACTCATGTGGGGGCTGGTCTAGAACCTTGTTGTTTGGATGGGGTGGGGGCTGGGCACAGGAACCAAGCTGCAATGGCAGTGGGGGTTGTTGGAGAATCTCTTGAGCTGGGAGTTCTTCCTGGGCCTTCTAACTATCCCTTTTATGGCTCTTGCCTTTTCCTGATGTTTGTGGCCCTAAGAACCATCTGCCCCTCTCCAAGCCAGTGTCCCACCTGAAGTCACAGGGCAGACTGGGTACGACATCCTTGGGCTCTCCCCTCCCTGGAGTGGCTCCAGGACCTCCCATGGTGGGGTCAGAACTAGATGCCTACCCTTCCTGACCTGTCTGTGCCCAGTCCCTTAGCATTGCCCCTTTCTTCTCCATGACACATCCTTGATGCCTTCTTTATCAAATTAAAAAAGAAAAAAATTAAATTTAACCTTTAAAAATTTAAATATATTTTCCCACAGGTCCCTGGTGCTCTGCTCATTTTTTTTCTAATTTTCTTTTCTCTCTGTTCTTCAGACTGCATAATTTCTATTCATCTATCTTGAAGTTTATAGGTTTTTTTCGCCCTCTCATCATCACCAAGCTGCTATTGAAATCAGTAAATTTTTTAAATTCCGATTTTGTATTTTTCAGTCCTAACATTTCCATCTGGTTCCTTTTTATAGGTCCTGTGTCTACGCTGAGAACTTCTATCCTTTTATTCATTCCAAATGTGTTTTTCTTGACCTAATGGAGCACAGTTATAATAGCTTCTTTGAACTCTTGGTTTGATCATTGCAATGCATGGGCCACCTTTGGCATTGGCATTTATTGTCTCTTCCTTGGAGAAGTGGCCACATTTTCCTGGTTCTTTGTATGTTGGCTAATTTTGAATTGTCCCAGACATTGTGAATGTTATGTTGTGTAGACTTTGGGTCCTGTAAATAATCTTCCAGAGAAGTCTATATTTTTGTTCTAGCAGACAAGCAACTGGGTTAGGTTCAAGCTGCATGTTCTGTCTTGCCTTCCGTACATAACGACTCAAATCTCAGTTCAGTTCTCTAAGCCTGTGCTGTATTGGCTTGACTCTGTTCTTGAGCATGAATTATTTAGTGATTAGGCTAAAAAGATACGTGCACATGGTTTAAAGCTCAGGTTGGTTTTCAAAGCTTTGCTGTGCTGGTTTGGGTCTGTCCCATTCAGGCAGAGCTCAGAGGTTAGGCCATCCGTGTGCACTGATTCACAGAATTAAAAGACCACTTTCCTGGCTCTCTCTCCTCCTGGATTCCTTCCACACTCTGCGTCCTCCCAGGGCCCCCCTTCTGCCACTGCTGCATTGTTGCTGTGCAAGTGGAGCCTGCCCTCTGGGTAAAGCCAAGAGACTGCGAGAGACAGAGACAAAGACAGAGACAGAGAGAGACCGAGAGAGAGAAGATGGGAAAGTTCCCCCTGCATGGATCACTTGTCTAGAAGTGTCATCTCCACAATCTGTTCTTGTTTACTTTTTAGAGTTCTCTGGTAGTTAGATTTTTAATATGGCTCAAAGTTTTTGTTATAATTAGTGGGAGGAGTTGACTAAGTGAGCTTACGCTACCATGCCAACACTGGAAGCTCCTTTCCCCCACTTTTAATAAAGTTTTTTGTCTTCTTATTGTTATGTTGTAAGAGCTCTTTATATATACTGGATACAAGTCCTTTGTCAGAAATATGTATTGTGAATATTTTCTACCGGGCTGTGCCTTGACTTCAATCTTGTTAACAATGTCTTTCTAGGAAATTTTTTTCATTTTGAGGAAATCCAATTTGCATTTCTCATTTGGGCTTTTGGTCTCCGAAGAAACACGTGCTTATCCTAAGACTGTGATGATTTCTTCCTATGTTTTCTACTAGACGTTCTATACCCTTACCTTTTATGTTTAGGTCTCCTATAATTGTTTTTGAGGTAATTGATACGGTTTGAGGTAGGCATCAGGATCTATTTTTCCATTTAGATCTCCACTATGTCAATGTCATTGGTTGAAGACTTTTCCCGTTTCTCATAATCAGTACTATATGCACAGGTCCATTCATCCTGGCCTCTCTGCTCTGTCCAACTGACCAATACTGTGGCATATTCTTGATTACTGTGATCAGTGTTTCTCAATCTTGGCACTATTGACGGTTTGAGCCAGATTACTCTTTGATGTGGGAGCTGTCCTGTGGACAGCTGCAAATTTACTCTATGCCTTGAAATCAGCTAGGGTAGTTTGCCAATTTCGTTTTTTTTGAAAATATACTTTAACATTTAAAAAATACATTAAATAGTTCACTGGTGCCTGGGTGGCTCAGTCAGTTAAGTGTCTGTCCGACTTTAGCTCAGGTCATGATCTCGCGGTTCCTGGGTTTGAGCCCTGCGTTGGACTCTGTGCTGACAGCTTGGAGCCTGGAGCCTGCTTCAGATTCTCTGTCTCCCTCGCTCTCTGCCCCTCCCCACTTCTGTGTGTGCTCGTGCGCTCTCTCTCAAAAATAAAGATGAAAAAATTTCAAAAAAAAATACATTAAATATTTTAAAATTTTTAA